TTAATTTTTTCATTTTTTGTTTCTGAGCCTCTCAAGATGGCAAAGTGAAAAAAAATTAAAGTTTACCTTTGAAAATTTACAAAGTTAGCAAGTGTAAATGACATGCAAGTTATTAAATAAACAAATTGTGTTTTTCAAAAGTTGGTAGCTTTTACCCTTCTAAAGTTATTAAGTTTAAATATTCACTATGACATTTTTAGACACCTGTATATATACATATTAGATTATCTTGAAAGTACTCATTTTGTGCTCCATCCTTCCCCATGGATATGTATGAATAAGAAGTGTATATGCACCTGTGTGTCCACAAGTTCATAGACGGTAAGAGGTAGATTATAGTTGCTTTTGGTTTCATCTATTCAGTACCTTTCTCTCTGTCAATAATAAATGTGTCTGTCTTCTAGCCAAATAATTATGCAGTTGAGTATAATAGGGGGTGATATGGAAAAGGTGTATCTTCATTTAAAGAAAGGGGTATCGTAAAATATATAAAATTTTTAACAAAGACCACTCATGGAAATGGGGGGAAGGCAGTGTCTGGGATGGTGTGGCTGCCTTCTTGTCCCTCAGGAAAGTGGTGGATGGTGTTAAAAGGGCCTGTCTGCTGAGATAGGTGGTAGGGGTGTAGAGATGGTGGTGGTAGATATGAGTATAAAGGTTGGATACTATGTCTGCTTGAAGGAAATGAGCCTCCTCAGTGGAGTCTAACCTGCCTCACTTCCTCTCTTTTAGGGGCTGAAAAACTGTCTGTTTAGTTGTACAAGGTTGTCCTCATGCCAAAATGATTTTCCTTCTGGCGTCTAAATGTTGCCTTCTTTATTTTCTCCTTCTCCCTCTTCTTACGCTCTTTGTACTTTAGATGAGCCATGGCATTATGGAAAGCATGGCAGCTGAAGCCCTCCCTGACCCCACACTCCACATGCTCCTGAAGGACTTCTAAGCTGGGGAAGACCCAGCAGTAGGCCATGCACCTGAACCCACTGTCCAGGGCCACCAGCCACTCAGGCGTCTCTCTCTCTGTGTTCATTCCAGCAGTTGACACACCAAGTTATATCAACACTGAAAATTGACAAATTTTGCTTAGTGAAGGTATTTGGGAATTCAAAGGTGAAAATGTATTATGTGCAGGAAGATTAAATGATGTTGAGGAATGTATTTACAGCCACATAACATTTTACAGCATAATAGTATGATATTTCCCATTAATGCTTTGTCTTTGAGAACTTCATAGGACTTCAGTTCTCACTGCTGTGTATACTATTCCCAGATCTATTTCTCTAAGTTCAACAATTCCTCTGTGTCTAAAACCCAAGGTACATACAACGTTGAAGCAAATGTAGTGTCTATCATGAGAAACAGGAGTAAATGTGGTTTCAAGGAATCTCTTTGGTGCCAGGACCAGTCACTAACAGTGTGCTATAGGGATAGATAGCAGATTGATATTATCTTGAACAGTAAAAGCTATTTCAATATAAAGTGAATTGTTTGGGGAGATATTGGAGCTATTCTTTTCTATTACAAGTTAGTCAAGTGCTGAAGATAATGAAGATGATGGAGAGGAAATGAAATGTGTATTTTGCCTAAATGACCATTCAGACATCTAATCACTTCAGAGGTCGCCACTTTCTTTGTCATCATATATGGCCAGACAAAGCCACATCTTGAATGCTTGCTACAAAAGGACTTCCTCTCTGAAGTGATCATTTTCTTATTTTTAAAAACTAATATTGCATATTAAACTTCAAGGCCTGTGCTAGCTAGATTTAGGCAGTTCTTTATAGAAGTGTAGCTATACTTTACTGGAAACTCACCTTTTTGATGTTCTATTACTAAATTTTTTTCCTTGTTTTAGGCCTTCCAAAACTGACTTTGTGGGGAGACTTGGCAAAAACCACACACTTTCCATAAAAAAACACAAATAAGATCTTTTTTTGGTTTCTGAAGAATTGAGAGTTAATTTCAAGCTTTGTAGGACTGGTCACCGTTCTTTTTCCTTAATCCTCACCCAAGGATATTTTTCCATTGCTATTAGGTAGAGTAGGAGGGAGGGAGAGAGGGGGATAGAGAGAGAGAGAAACGTCAATGTGAGCAAGACACATCGATTGGTTGCCTCCCACACATGCTCTGACCGGGGCTGGGGAATGAACCTGCCACCCAGGTAAGTGACCTGTAATCGAACCTGAGACCCATTTGGTGCATGGGCCAATGCTCTAACCACTGAGAACGCTGGCCAGGGCTGGTCACCATTCCTAAGTTGACTTACAATAACAAGTGTATTTATACATGGTTTTAAAATATTAATCTTATATGTTGGTCTAACATAAAACACAAAGTATGTTGACTAGAAAATACTCAGAAAAATCTTTGTAAAATTTGAGAGATGACTGCTGTTTTATAAGTCTCTACTAAAATGATAAAGATGCTTATTAAATAAAATCGAATAAAATTAAATAAAATTTTCTGAACACTGGTAATTTGGCCAGGCAGAACTGCAGGTTTTGATTCAGAAATCCCATAGCCGAGAATCATAAGTCAAAATGGGGTTATTTACTGTCAAGGGAACACACCATATGGCCTAAATTAGCCTAAGAGCATATTCGTATACAAGCACTTCTGTGCTTTCACGTCCAGTTCATCTCCCTAAATGGAAAAGATGCCTTGATAAAGAAAATGCCCTGGCCCAGAGATAGTGGCTTGGATGTGGCGGGCAGAAGTGCGGTAATCTGGTTACTTTCTCTACAAACCATGTAATAATGTGCATAGGCCACTGTGAAGTGAAATGATTAGCCACCTACTACACCAAGATGTATTGGCATAACACATCAGCAAATTAGAGGCTGACCTTCCATCCTTGCTGTGAGATGTCATTTCCATTTTGTTGTACTTCCTCAAGCTAGTCCTCCTCATTTCTCTTCTTTGAACTCTCTCCCTCCGCTTAATGGAGCCCATTAACATTTCTGGCTCTGTTCACCCCCACCTCTAAATGAAAGAAATGTGCTTTCAGTTCCAAAGGTGCTTGCTGCTACATGAATAAGGGCAGCAGGCACTTGCCTCAGCAAAACAACAGCAAGTGAAACACAGTGAGATGCACATATTTAGAGATGACTCTGCAGTAATTGTAAAGTGGAGCTGCTGTCTCTCTGGTGGAGACTGGGCTCTGGGTGACTGTGCCATAGAGGTCACGTCAAGACAGCTGACTGGCTTTCTATATATGGCCCAGAGAGCAGCTGTTAAGTTTTGAGACTAGAGCAATTTGAAACAAGTCTTGGACCTGTTAAAGTCTAATAATTGAAATGAAAAATGACAGGACTGGGAGCCTAAAATGCCCTAATCCTGACGTGAGGGAAATGTTTTCCGAAGAAATGATTTTATGTCAAGTTGTAGTTATTAAAACAAAAATATTTACTTATTTTTTTTGCTCTGAGTAACAAGTAGAACAAAAAAATCAATGCAATAAAGTTTATAATTTTGATTATGCGACTCTCATTGAGCAGTGCTTTAGCAGGAAAGCAGATGGGCTCTGATTAGGCTTATAAATATAGAAATGTATTGATCAACCAGACAAAACTCCTTGAAGTGTTCCCTGCATGAGCTCAATGCACCTTTAAAAAGAGGGAAAGAAGCTATAGCCTGTCTTTCCAGGCTCCAACTAAGTTTGTGGAGCTAACATCTCAATAAATTACAGAGTTGTATTGACTTCTTTATGGACTAGGCACAAACAAAAGGGATTATATTGAGCAGCATTTAGGGAAATGTTTTGAGCCTGGTTTTGATTCCAATATATAGATGCAAATGTCGTCAATGTCAAAGCATCCAAAGTAGCAAAGGGAAGTATGGACAAGTTATATGAAGGAGCTGGGTGGGGATTTCTGCAAAGCCTGATTATTTGGGCTGCTACCAATTCTGGTCCATTAACCTCAACTCCCTTTCCTTTTGTTTACACAATGAATGAGATATGTTTTCACTTCCTCAGATCACCCCCCCCCCACCTTTCATGACTCTAAATTATCTCTAAGCACACCTACTAAACCCAAACAAGAACGTGTTCCTGCTGAACATCATCCTATCACTCTAGCTTCGACTAGGAATTTTGAAATCTTGATAGAAACTCCCGAACAGGCCCCCGGAAGCTTTCCCTTCTCAGATGTATACCTTTAGCTTAATTCCCTCTTTTCTCGGGATAAATAAGGAACTGTATCTTTCCTCTTAGTAGCTAGCTATACTTGTCATAAAAAAATTTTATGTACATGAAATTCAGAAAATATAAAAGAAAGTTAAGCTCTTCCACAGAAAGCAGCTCTCATGGACGCTAAGGACTTTTGTTGGAATATTAATTATGTAAACAGTCTCAATTATTGCTTCATGGCCTGTAAATTCTAGAAGCACTTTCAAGACCAAAGTAGGCTACATCCACTGTCATTTATGTGCCATAATTCTATTTCCAAGTCACTCAAAGATTTTTAAGACTAAGGCTCATCCTATCCATCTTAGAGCAGGCACTTTTCCTGGCCATTAAAAATGTAACTCAGCCCAAAATAAATCAGGCTAGATCTGAGGGGATTTAAAGTAGAGAAATCTCTATTTTAAAATATGAGTATTAAATTCTTATCAACAACTCCGGTATCATGTTTCTAGAGTCACATAATACGTTTTATACAATTTACTATTTTATATCCATATCTATGTCTTAGAGAAGATTTAGAAAAACTACTATGAAAAATAGGGGAAATCACACTCTATAAATAGAATAATCAAACTGAAAGAAACACTGGAGATTTGTTAAAATACAGTGTATCATTATATAGATTTATGTTTATATTGTATGTATGTGTGTATGATTTGTTTACTTATTGTTACATATATATGTAAGGGCTTTGCAGATATTTTAACCATCTCAAGAATTATTTAAGTTTGATATTTTTAACAATACTTCCATTTTATGAATGAGAAAACTGACACCTACAGAAGTCATATAAGCCTCAGCTGCTAAGTGTCAGAAGAGGGAGTCAAATCCTGCTATACATCTACTTCTTAAACACTATTACACTGAATTTCTATTTAGTGATGGAAAACAAAGTAATAAACAAAAAGTCAAGACCAAGCAAGCTGTTCTACTTAATGGCAAAACAAGAACTGAGACTAGAATCCCTGGACTCAGAATCATTGATACATTTTTACTACAAGAAATAAATACTGAATATATTTCTATAAATATGGTGTATTATACCACTTATGACTATCATATTTATAACTCTTACATAATATTATATAAAACAATTACACCATATTTAATATTTATTTCAATGATTAACTGCAATGTTGTGCATTGTTGCTGAAAAGGGCTCTCAAAAATAAATTATCTCCCATATGTTTTACCCAAAATTTTATGAAAAGTCTTTGAGAGAATTACTCAATATAAATAACTCATTCACAAGTTAGGGTGGTTTATTTTAATTGAACATTTTAATTACTCTCCTTTTACAATCAAGCTGGGTTTAACTGCATGGAAAGCATAGGAATGTGTTGTATTGGTTCCCATTAATTATTGAATTAATTAATTTTGGTTGGTGTAGTGGAGGGATTTAGAAAAATTTGATGTTAGCATCCCAGGTGATTAGTAAAGAACATACCTTGATGAGCTGCAGTTGCAGAATATAGTCAGGATGATACCCCAAGTTCAGGAGACAGGGTAAATGCAGGGTCAGAAACTAAGGAAATCTGGCAAAAGGGATATAAAAGGCGCCACAGATACTTCAGGTACATGTCCATTTTGCCATGGGAACTGGCACTGGTTCCATGTGGTGCTATAGGAGGCATAAAGGGAGAATGTTCCAAATAAATAACAAGCCATTAGGACTGTGGGTGGTGGAGAATGAACAGTGCCAACCTTGCCTTTACTCACATCTTTTCTTTTCCTGAGACACCCTTCTGTCTCCCTACATCCACCTTTCAAATCCCACTTCTCACAGTAGACTTCTATTGCTTGTCTTTGCCAGAAAATCAGGTGGGCAGCCTGGCACTGAACTTTATAAAGGTTGTTAATCTGTGATTCCAAAATTCAAATGCCTTCAAGGACCAGGCAGGTGATCTAAAGGTAAAGCAGGCAGTATTACCCTCTGCAAACTGAAGAAGGCAGCATCTCCAGAGTGCACTTTAACCTCCTCTGGATGTACATATTAATTTAAATATGTTAAATCCAGCTTTTCTACTTTATATTGGGTCCAAGGCTTTGGCTCTAATCTCAGCATCACTATAGGTGTTGATACATAGGGCAATCATAATGCCACTCACAGATGCCTTCTGTAGAGTTTGTTTTCATCACTGTCATTGATATTTCAGGTTAATTTACCTTTGTAGATTTTCCTTACTTATTTTGAACCCATCAATATCTTTCTAAGCATGTTTTATTCATCTTATAGTAGTATTGTAGTAGGATGTCTTTTAGAGTAGCTAGTCTACCTCCTTCATTGTCAGAAACTGAAGTTCAAGTGCATAGTGTTGACTTCATGGCTCCTTCATATTTATTGACTGAATAATGCCTTTAATAGCAAAAAAGAAAACATAATCAGCAGGATAGAATTACAGCTTGTGTGTGTATATGTAGGGAAGTGTGTTTGTATACATGTGTTTGACTTAGACAAATTACTGTAGAAGCTACTTTGGAGAATTGAAATCAGTGAACTTCTTTGTCTGGGGACTATACACTATTTAAAATGGAGCACGACATTTTTTATCTTCTGGATATACTGTTATGGAAATGTTAATAAGAGTCAGATGAAATTTTCCATTAATGAGATGTCTCTGATGGCATGAAAAATAAGTCTTGTTTTATTGATGGCACAGTGAACTAGCAACTATTAAGTAAATGAATACTTCTACTCTTAGGTATCCAAATAAAAATGAGAAGGCAAGTTCTTGTTGGAAATATCCTCATAGCATTGCATTCTTCTAATTAGGTTAACATTTTATTTCCTTTTCACTTGGAAAACTTAAAATGTAGTGAGGTAAATGCCAGTTTTTAGACCAAGAAAGGTTTAATAGTGTCTGAGAAAAATTTCACCTTCTCTGCTCATTGTTTTATGCCAAGGAAATAACAGAAATCACCCAATTAACCTTAAAATCCTGGGGGTCATTCAGTGCATATTGTACATATCACCTTTTTATAGACTATTCCACACTCGTCTTTATCATCTTGACAAGTACTGTGAAGTTTATGCATGCCTCAGAATGGCTGAACGGGTCTTAGGGTGTCCCTTGAGGTGGTAGCAGATAAACCCTACCGTTCAGGAGGGAATACTGGATGCCGCTGAGGCACAACTGGGATGGGAAAAGACCACTCTTAGCAGATCTAAAAACATAGTTTCCATTGAACAGACAGAAGAATTAGATTGTGGTAGGGAGGTTTTTACTCTCCAACACACACACACACACACACACACACACACACACACACACACACCTAGCAACATTTATTATAATGTATTGTTATAGTAATTAGTTTTGTGAATATACAATTAAGGCACTTATATTTGAAATTAAATGTTAGAGTTACTGACTTTCAAAGGATTAAATGTTGAATCAGATTCTCAGGATTTTACGGTTTTTTCCTCCTCTCTGTTCCATTCTGTAGTTCTACTCTCAGAAAATATAACTCCCCAAGTCATGTAGCTCTTGTTTTGTGATTGAGTATGGGATTCATTCCTGTTTGACCTTGTACTTTGTGATCTCAGTTATATAGTGTCGTATAAAAATCCCCTCCAAATTAGCATCTTTTAAAAAACTGCATTGGAGTAGTGCCCTGATTGACTGATTGATTGTTCAAATGGAGTGTTCTAGGCACAGTCCTGTCTTATGATGATTATTTTAAATGTTAATTCTTAGAAGTAGAATAATCATAAGTGAGTGTCTAGTTTATAAAACATGATGTTAAAAATTCATACACTGAATTCACCTAGGCTACTGTGTATTTACTTCATTAAGGTACAATGTAAGGGGGTAGGCGGAGAAGAAGGTCCTAATATATGATGACATGAGATGATTTGACTTTGGGTGGTGGGCACATGGTGAAATATACAGATCTTATAACGTAGAAACTCACACCTGAAACCTGTATGATCATGTTGACTAATGTCACCCCAATAAATTTAATTTTAAAAAAGGTGTATTGTAGAACACTGGAACTGCCTTTTCCTTTAATCATAAAAATAGATGTTTTATAGTGACCTTTCCATATAAATTCCTGTATATGCCTAAGATTTTATGGTAAATACTAGAGGCCCAATGCATAAAATTCATGCAAGAGTAGGCCTTCCCTCCCCCAGCTGCTGGCACCTGGGACCCGGGCTTCCCTCTGACCCCGACAGGCACCCAGGACCCGGGCTGCTTCCTTCTGGCCTTGGCTTTATCCAGAAGGAAGTCCGGTCTAATTAGCATATTATACTTTTATTATTATAGATAAATACTATAATTACTCTTATGCTTAATTAAAGAATAACAAAATAATCTAATGTTATATTTGTGATATGTAGTTTAGGAAATACAATTCAGAATATAGATCAAGCAGCTGGGAGAGAAGATCCATGATTTATTTGATAAATACTTTGAGAAAGTCACAAAAAATTGTCATAAATGCATAGATTGCGATATGTTGTAGATAATCTAATTGCTTATGCAATTGTAAATTATAAAAAATGCAGTGTCTTTAGTTTGCTTATATAACAACCTGAGCCTAAAATTCACAATTATATATCCAAATATATGCACACTGTAGATGCTAATTATTCAATTAATCTTTTCAAATACGACAAAAAAAAGAGCTTTAGGATGGGCACTGACTGTATGAGTTTTTTAAAGATGACTAGTTGTTGAAAATCTGGCAGCTAAGCTGGGTTTTGCTTATTTTCCTCTGGAAATAAGAATCATAGGTCAGAACACATGGGAAAAATGTTGAAATCAAACGTATTTGAAAAGAGACTGTCTCTCAGAGAGTCACCAAGCCTGGTGGGGTAAGAGAGAATAAGTGAAATAATTTGAAGAAGAATTTAAAAATGTCTGTGAGACACAACTTTATTGGGGAAGACCAGTTTCAGAAAGCATAATATAACTATGGGAAGATGATAAAAACAAAAAAACAAACAAACAAAAAACAAAACAAAAACAAACCAATGCTTATGGACCAAATAGACAGGGAACAATGAGAAATGAAAGTCATTTCTGTTAAGACACTGGATAGTTTATGAGACTAAGGACATGGAAAGCCACCTAGGACAGAAGCTGATGGTCTTGTTAATCCCCCACATAGACAGAAATACGAAAAGACAGACTGGTTTAGTCCTTAGAATGGGAAACAATCTTATTAAGGCATATTAATTGCATGTGCCTTATGACTCAGCAATTGTGTTCTCAAAATTATATTCCATAGAAAATTTCATATATTTGTGTGTAGGTGTTAATTAGAACAATGTTTAGGGTGGTCAGAAGTTGGAAGCAATTTTGGTATCATCACTGAGAAAGTGCATGCAAGTAAACTTATACCATGGTGAATCTTTCAGCTATTCAAAACAGTGAGTTGGGTATACAGTAATCCTCCCATATCCACATATTTTCTTTCTGTGGTTTCAATTACCTGCAGTCAACCATGGTCCAAAAATATTACAAAAAATTCCAGAAATAAGAAATTCATAAGATTTAAATTGTGTGCCATTCTGAATAGCATGATGAAATCTGCTCCGTCCTGTCATGGACATGAATCACCCCGTTGTCTAGAGTATCTGTGCTGTTACAATACCTGCCCTTTAGTTACTGACTTAGTAGCCATCTCTTATGGGACCTACTGTCATAGTATCACAGTGCTTGGGTTCAAGTAACCCATATTTCACTTAATAATGTCGCATTCACCTCACTTCATCTCATCACGTAGGCATTGTATCATCTCACATTATAACAAGAGCCAAAGGGATAATACAGTACAACAAGACATTTTAAGAAAGAAAGACAGATCACATTCACGTAATATTTATTACGGTCTATAACTTTATAATTATTGAATTATTATAATTATTGAATTTTATTAGTTATTAATCTCTTACTGTGTTCAATTTATAAATTAAACTTTACTATAAATATGTATGTGTAGAAAAAGGTAGTATGTATAGTGTTTGATACTGTCTGAGGTTTCAGGCATCCACTGGGGTCTTAGAACACATCCCCCTTGAATAAGTGGGACTACTCTACACAAAATAACATAGGCAGATCTTTCCTTTTTTTAAAGTCAAGTTTATTGAGGAATAACTCACATATATTAAATTTTACCTTTTTAAGTGTACAGTTTGACATTTTTTTCTTCCTTTATTTTATTATTTTCCCCATCACCATTTATCCCCCATATACCCTCTTCCACCCCTAACCACACTGTTGTCTCCCTCTCTCTCTCTCTCTTTCTTTTTGCTCAATCCCTTTACCTCCTCTAACCTTTACAGTCTGGTAAATCAACAAGATATTCAAAATATCCATTATCTCAAAACTTTCCTTGGGTCCCCTTTGCAGTTAATCCCCTTTCCCACACTCATTCCCAGGAAACTGATTTATTTTTTATACTTGTATTTTACCTTTTCTAGAATATTATAGAAATGGAATTATTCTGTATATAATCCTTTTTGGTTGGATTTTTTTCTATTAATGTTATGCTTATGAGATTCACCTGGCAAGAATATATCAAGAGCACTTTGTATTGCTGAGTAGTACTCTATTATTGGACTATAACCAAAAAGTGTTTACTCTTTCACCAATTAATGGATATGTAGGTTGTTTCCAGATCTGGGCTATTTGAAATAGCTTCTATGAACATTTGCATACAGATATTTGTGTGAACGTATGCTTTTATTTATCTTGAGTAAATACTAGTACCTGGGAGTTAAATAGTTGGGTTATATGTAAAGTGTACATTTCACTTAGAAGAAATTGCTAACCTGGTTTCCAAGTGCTCACATTATTTGACATTCCCAACAACAATGTAAGAGTTCTAGTTGCTCTATATTTACATAATCATTTGCTAATGTCAAGCTCTTCAGTTTTAGCCATTTTAATAAATGTTTATAGGTATGTTGCTATGGATTTAAATTACATTTTCTTGATGTAAATGCATTCGAACAACTCCATGTGCTTTATGAGCCTTTGTTTATTGTCTGAGTGGAAGTGTCACAACCAATTTTTTTTGCCCCTTTTTCATTAGGTTGTTTGTACTCTTAGGTTATGTGTTCTTTTTATATTGTAGTTATAAATCCTGCATTATATATGTGTTTTGAAAATATTTTCTCCCAATCTGATAATTGTATTTTCATTTCCAACAATATCTTTGAGAACAAACATTTTTAATTTCAATGTAGTCCAATTTATTTAATTTTTCTTTTATGGTTTGTGCTTTTGGTATCATATCTAAGACATACTTTGTTGTTATATATTTTTCTTTTTTTCTTCTATAATTTTATATATTTAATACTGAAATTTATCTTTATTATTATTTTTGAATTATTTTTGTACATGGCATCAGGTAAGGCTCAAGGTAATTTTTTGGTATATAAATGCCCATTTTTAATACCTTTTTTGAAATATTTTTTGTTTATTGAATTAAGTTGGCACCATATATTCATAGATGTGTAGGTGTATTTCTGTTTTGTTCCCTTGACAGATCTATTTATCTAGCCAGCTAGCCATTATCTACCTACCTAATTTCAAACCTTATATATTAAACATTTTAAATTTATTGAATACTCTAGCTTTATAGTAAGTATTGACATCAGGTAGTATGCATTCTCTAACCTCGTAATTTTTCAAAATCATTTTTGCTATCTTATGTGCTGTCTTTTTCAAAATAAAGTTTAGACAGCTTTTCCATTAATACAATAATACCCCTAGAATTTTGGTTGAAATTTTATTGAATTTGTAGATCAGTAAATATTAAGAGAGCTACCTTAATAATATTGATTATTCTGATGATGGATATGGGGGTAAACTTTTTTATTTACTTGATTTCTATAAACAATATTTTGTAATCTTCATTGTACAGGTCTTGCACGTATTTTATTAATTTGACTCCTAGATATTTTGGATTTGGGTGGAATAAAAATTGCAAATACATTGTTTTTAAAATTTAAAGTTAAATATTTTTCTGCCAGTATATAGAAATGTAACTGATTTTTATCTTAACTTGTATCCTATGTCATTGATAAAATAACTTTTTAGTCTAACTGGATATTTTCTAGATTTCTGGGGATTTTCTATACAGAGGATATATTGTTTTCTTTATTTGTATTTTAACATTTGTACTTTTTCTTTCTAATTTGTATTATCTGAATTTATTTTTATTTTCTAATATTTTTTTTAATAATAGGGAAGGTTACTCTACTTTGGCAATTCAGGCAATCTTAAATATATGTATAACTTAAAATTTAAATAAAATAGATATCCTTTTAAATATGTGCAATTTATTTTATGTCAAATATATCTTTATAAATATGTTTATATATGAAATTAATTATGTCATTTTAATATGTAATAATAGCTTTTTTGACTTCTGTCACTGTAGATTAGTTTCCATTTTCTAGAGTTTTATATAAGTGAATTCATAGCATATACTATTTATTTTCTTTCAGTCATTATAATGATTTGAGATTCATCCTTGCTGTTACATGTATAAAGATATCCTTCCTTTTTCACTGTTAATTAATATTCCTTTGTATGGACATACCACTCTATTCATTCATTTACCAGTGATAAACATTTTGATTGTTTCTAGTTTTGGGCTATTACAAATAAACCTTCTATAAACAACATGTACAAGTCTTTGAATTATCATCTATTTCTTTTTATTTTAGGTAACTCCAGGAAGTGGAATGGCTTGATCACACGGTCGGTGAGTGCTTAACTTTTTAAGAAATCACCAAACTGTTTTTGCAAAGTAGTTGTGCAATTTAACATGCCCCACCAGCCATGTATGAGAGATTTAGTTGCTTCACATATGCACTGGTATTTGATATTGTCTGTCTTTTTTATTGTTGCCATCCTTTTGGATATGTAGTGATTTTGCTG